GATACATATTGATGTACTTATGCTATGTAGCAAGTTTGAGGTGAATAATTTATTACTTGTGTCTCTCTTGGCTGGACCATCATGTCGGTCTCAAACTTTATCAATAGAAAGTTACTGATACTGGAAAGCCTCTCCTTATATGATGGATTAAAAACCTACAAAAATATAAAAAAGATAACAAAAAATAAAAAATAATAACAGAGGCATTAAAACAACTAAAACTGACTCTAATAAAAACCAAAAAAGATTCTAACAGTGTAAAAATATAAATTTTTAATCTACTTTACTAATTATTAAGTACAATCCCTTACCAGCTCTTGATTGATATCAGAGAGAAAGAGTGAATCCAACTGATAGCTTTCTTCATCATGAGGATCATGCCAATATGAAGCTTGGACTATACTAAAAATAAAATCCATACTTATACTATTTCATTTAATGTAATTATATTGTACTTATTTAGCATAATACATGTACATGTATACTGTATAGAAAGAATTTTGGAGATAGTTAAATTAGGTGAATTTGGCATTTTGATAGCCATTTGCCAAAATAAAAATCCGCCATTTTGAGCTATTATGTGCATGCTCAATGGAACATGACCACTAATTTGCCAAATTAAAATTCGCCAATCACCAAAATTTAGCAATTCACCAAATTAAACTCCCTCCAAAATTTCCCGCTATAAATATGTATTGTACATTGTCCTTATAGTATCCACTCACTTGTCTTGAAATATGGTGAGGTATACTCCAATGCTTAGGAACTGTCTGAATAAATCACAGAACCAGCTGGTCTCTCCTAGACAGAATGGGAATCCATACACTCCCTGATGCTGGCCTGCTACTGATATTAGATTGTACACTTTGATACGCCCACACCTCTGGATCAATGCCCTCCTTTAAAAATACAATAAATTTAAATTCAATTTTTAGTAATAATACTGGTACATATTACTACATAATTAATGGAATAGCAAACAGAAAAGCTCTAAATTTTTTCAAGATTATGGTAAAGGGGATTTGGATTTTAGTAGGCATGCAGCTAAATTTTAGCAGCAATATTCAAATAAGTTGAGTTTAATGCCCCCTAAAGAAGAAAAGATGTTCATCTGCTGTTGGGAAGACACTTTTAGCATGTACCTAATTGTGTAGCTCTAGCTGCAGCTAATAAAGTATATTTTAATTTCCAATATGACAGTGAATGATAGTAACATTGCTATAGTTTCATGTACATGTAC